AAACGGCAAAGAAGAAGTAAAACTGTCACTGTTTGCAGATGACATGATACTATACATAGAGAATCCTAAAGATGCCACCAGAAAACTACGAGAGGTAATCAATGAATTTGGTAAAGTAGCAGGATACAAAATTAATGCACAGAAATCTCTTGCATTCCTATACACTAATGATGAAAAATCTGAAAGAGAAATTAAGGAAACACTCCCATTTACCAGTGCAACAAAAAGAATAAAATAGCTAGGAATAAACCTACCTAAGGAGACAAAAGACCTGTATGCAGAAAACTATAAGACACTGATGAAAGAAATTAAAGATGATACAAACAGATGGAGAGATATACCATGTTCTTGGATTGGAAGAATCAACATTGTGAAAATGACTATACTACCCAAAGCAATCTACATATTCAATGCAATCCCTATCAAAATACCAATGGCATTTTTCACAGAACCAGAATAAAAATTTCACAGTTTGTATGGAAACAAAAAAGACCCCAAATAGCCAAAGCAATCTTGAGAAAGAAAAACGGAGCTGGAGGAATCAGGCGCTCTGACTTCAGACTATACCACAAAGCCACAGTAATCAAGGCAGTATGGTAGTGGCACAAAAACAGAAATATAGACCAATGGAACAGGCTAGAAAGCCCAGAGATAAAGCCATGCACATATGGTCACCTTATCTTTGATAGAGGAGGCAAGAATATACGATGGAGAAAAGACAGCCTCTTCAATAAGTGGTGCTGGGAAAACTGGACAGTTATATGTAAAAGAATGAAACTAGAACACTCCCTAACACCATACACAAAAATAAGCTCAAAATGGATTAAAGACCTAAATGTAAGGCCAGACACTATAAAACCCTTAGAGGAAACATAGGCAGAACGCTCCATGACATAAATCACAGCAAGATCCTTTTTGACTCACCTCCTAGAGAAATGGAAATAAAAACAAAAATAAAACAAATGGGACCTACTGAAACTTAAAAGCTTGTGCACAGCAAAGGAAACCATAAAGAAGATGAAAAGACAACCCTCAGAATGGGAGAAAATATTTGCAAATGAAGAAACTGACAAAGGATTCATCTCCAAAATATACAAGCAGCTCATGCGGCTCAATATCAAAAAAACAAAGAACCCAATCCAAAAATGGGCAGAAGACCTGAATAGACATTTTTCCAACAAAGATATACAGATTGCCAAAAAACACACGAAAGGATGCTCAACGTCACTAATCATTAGAGAAATGCAAATCAAAACTACAATGAGGTATCATCTCACACCGGTCAGAATGGCCATCATCAAAAAATCTACAAATAGTCAATGCTGGAGAGGGTGTGGAGAAAAGGGAACCTTCTTGCACTGCTGGTGGGAATGTAAATTGATACAGCCACTATGGAGAACAGTATGGAGGTTCCTTAAAAAACAAAAAATAGAATTACCATATGACCCAGCAATCCCACTACTGGGCATACACCCTGAGTAAACCATCATTCAAAAAGAGTCATGTACCACAATGTTCATTGCAGCACTATTTACAATAGCCAGGACATGGAAGCAAGCTAGGTGTCCATTGACAGATGAATGGATAAAGAAGAGGCACATATATACAATGGAATATTACTCAGCCATAAAAAGAAACGAAACTGAGTTATTTGTAGTGAGGTGGATGGACCTAGAGTCTGTCATACAGAGTGAACTAAGTCAGAAAGAGAAAAACAAATACAATATGCTAACCCATATATATGGAATCTAAAAAAAAAGGTTCTGAAGAACCTAGGGGCAGGACAGAAATAAAGACCCAAGTGTAGAGAATGGACTTGAGGACACGGGGAAGGGAAAGGGGAAGCTGGGACAAAGTGAGAGAGTGGCATGGACATATATACACTACCAAAAGTAGAATAGATAGCTAGTGGGAAGCAGTCGCATAGCACAGGGAGATCAGCTCGGTGCTTTGTGACCACCTAGAGGGGTGGGATAGGGAGGGTGGGAGGGAGACACAAGAGGGAGGGGATATAGGATATGTGTATATATATATAGATGATTCACTTTGTTATACAGCAGAAACTAACACAACATTGTAAAGCAATTATATTCCGATAAAGATGTTTAAAAAAAAAAAAAAAAAGAATGAACTACCAGCATACATAATGATGAGTGAAAGAAGCCAGAAGCAAGAGTACATACTGTAGGATTCCATTGATATTAAGTTCAAGAACAGGCAAACAAATCTACGGTTACACTGTGCAAGGGAATAATAGCAAACGAAGTGAAGTTCCAAGCAAAATAAAATAAACTGTTTGAGAAAGATATGTTAGCATTATTCACTACAATTATATTTCTGACCTTTTTCTCTTATCCTTCCGGTTTTTGCCTTTTAGATTTTGATGCTTGTCTACCATATTTGGTAAATGATGCTTTCAAGGCAGATATCTTCACTGAACCAAAATAATATTCCAGTGACTTTGCTTTTGTTATATGTTTGTTAGATTTCACAAGACTGGGTCTTGTTTTTTGACCCAGTTTAAGGGTCACGTCTGTTATATGACAGTTAACCATTTTATGTTTGCTATTATAAAGTAAATGTTTGGCCTTATCTTCTTACTTCCCTCAGCATACTATGTATTTTCTTTACTTTAAATGCTTTCATGTTATTCCCTTGGTTTGCTCTTTCTAAATAACATTGATTTAAAAAGGTAACAAACTCTCTATGGTGCAAACAGAAAATATGCATTTTTTTCAGGCATCCCCACATCAGTTGCACATTAGGTCTACAAGGGAGCCATGAATAAGTTTCCCAAAGATGGAAAGTGTAAAGATCACATGTCCTGACTAGGACAAAACTAAACTGGAAATGAATAACGACAATAAAAGAAAACAAAAAATTCAGCTACATGGCACTGAAAAAGATGAATCAAAAAGGTCTTTAAATCTGCAATCACAGAAACTCTAGAAAACAACAAAAAATTAAGATGTCAAATATCAAAATTTTAGAACTAGCCAGAAAAAAAAGAGGGGAATGATAAATATATCCAAAGTTGGTTCTTTACAAATCCACAAGTCCTCAGCTCCTTAAATAATGGGAGAAGTGAAGAGAGAGCATGGACTTACAAATTAAGAAGAAGAAGGGGGAAATAATCACACAGAAAATTAAATGAATTAAAGGAGACCATTCGTGCAAACTGAATAAATGGGAAGATTTTTAAAACTACCAATTACCTAAACTAGGTGAAGGAGACATTTAAAAGCCTAAGCAAGGCAATAATGGGAAAAATTCAGGCCCAAGAAGTTTCATAGGAACAATTTAAATAGTATGAGTCATGGATTTAACATCACCTTGAATAAAAAGAAAGGAGAGAAGTCTTTTTTTAGTAAAGCTAGCATAATGCTGATATCAAAACTTGACAACATATAACATAAAGAAAACCACAACATAATATCACTTATAAATATGAATGCAAAATCATAAATTAAATATTTACAAGCAGAATAAGGAAGTATGCTAAATGAATAAGAACAGAGTGATAAAGTGAGATCTTTGCAAGAATGCAAGGAAATCTATTGATATAATTCATCAGAGGTAAATGTTTAAAAGAAAAACCCATCTGATCATCTAATTATATGCTAAAAGAGTATTTAATAAAAATTAAGTGCATTCCTGTTTTTAAAAAGAGCAAAAAGTTTGATCTATACTTTCCAAGCATTATCAACACACACACAGAAAAGTTGGCAAAAGGTGAAACATCCAATTCACAGTAAAATAAATAGATATGGTTAATAAGCATATGAAAATGCTATCAATTTCAGTGATAATAAATGCAAAAGAACTCAACTATGAAATCTTCATCAGTTTGGCCATGTCATTGAGTCTGTGTGGACTGGGCCAAGCCCATCTATAGAGGACGGTGGGATGTGTGTTAGGAGGAATGTCCACATATAATGTCTACTGCAACCTTCCTGAGAAAAAGAATGCATGAAGTACACCTTGACCCACTATTCCACATCCTGGAATTTACACTAAGGAGGTCATCAAACTAGAGGGAAAAGATGTCTGCTCGAGAAAGTTCATTACAGTCTTTTGATAACAATGAACATTCCAAGAAACAACAATTGATTCCCAACAAAATGTTGAGAAAAAAAGGCAAAGGGAATTTATCTGGTCTGATCCTCTAAGGATATGGTATACTCTTAGAGAGGTGTCTGCAAGGATATTCCACTAAAGTTCAGAGTGGTTACCTCTGGATGGGAGTGATTTCAGGTCATTTTTACTTTCTACTCTTTTTCTTACTTAAATTTTAAAGGTAGTCATGCATCATTTTACAGAAGCAATTAGGTTTCCCCACATATCTCAAACCTCCAGTTGCCTTTAGAGTCTATAGAATGAAGCCAGAACTTTTCAGCCTCTCATGGGTGTTCTTGTTACCTGGCTCTCAATTACTCCTGCTCACAGGCCACGTGGCCTTTGCCTCCAGGTCTAAAATAACCTCTCCACCCACCTTCAAGGTGGACCTTGAAGGCCTGAATCAAAGGCTCTCCATGTCATGTCTGTAGCAGGCGGGCATCTGTCTTCTCTAAGACAGGTCTCTCTACCTCATGGGTCCCTCACTCGAGAGGCCCACCTGTCCTGGTAGAGGTGAGCTCCTTGAGGGCAGAGACCCCTTTTCCCCCTCCACAGGGTCCCTGAAGCTCCCGATTTAAAGCAGTTGCTCAGAAATGTTCCCTTTGACTGGAGTCGTTAAATCTCCCAGTGAAGAAAGTCAAATGTTTAAACAAATGGAAAACAGATGTCTTCTGGCAAGAGCCCATAAACTCCACTGGGGACAATTAGGTTGGGCTTCCCGTTGAGCACCTAAGTTATCACCTTGCCTCTTCTATCAAGATTTCTGAATAATACCTGCAAATTATCAGCACTACTGGGAAGCTGCTGGGAAAAATCAAGGTTGACTTTTCTGAGCTTGTCTTCCCGTCAGAACCCCCTCTCGGCGTGTGGGGAATGGGTCTCACCTGGCTCATGGTGGCTTTCAGCATCTCCAGGAGCAGCAGGGCACCTTCAGTGCACAGCCCAGCCCGGAGGACTTCTTCCCTGTGGTGCTTACGCAAGAGCCACTGAAGCATGGCATCCAGGCTGTCCTGAAAAAGGAGGCAAGCGATGTAAAGAGACCTGTGGCTACACAGCAAGGGGATCGGCTTTCCAGCCAGCACACGGCATTTCCCAGGGGCCCCAGTGGGAAAGGCAAAACAGCGCAGTAACAGCCCAGGTGGCTGGCCCGTTCAGGGAGCTTCAGCCCACTAGCGGGGTAACAAGGGAAATGCACACTTCCAAGATGGTGCCGAAGACCCACCAGCAACTTGTATCGAAATTTAGTTCTTTTGGTCTGACATCACAAATACTCAATCTCCCGATCAATTTTAATGAACTTTTATAAATGAGATTACGGAAAGTGTGACAGATTCAAAGGCTTTAGGGCAACTGCAGAGTGCAACAGAGAGAACATGGGGTTGACAAGCACGACGATCTGACTTTGCCTCTTTAAAAACTGGGCTTACACAAGCTATTCAGCCTCTTGGCAGTTCAGTTTCCTTCTCTGTGTAATGAAAATTACATTATCTGCCCCATGGGATTGTTATAAATATCAAGGAAAATAAAATACGTAAAACATCTATCACGGGTCCTGACATTCAGCAAATGTTTGTTTCCTGCAATACAGTCTTGGAAAAATAAAAATATAGGGTTTTGATTAACTTAGCACAGCATATTAAGAACTTTATTTTGAAGTGTGATCTCTAATACTATTAGCATATATCAAGATTGAGACAGGTCAAATATAAGGGTGTACGAGAGGTGAATTTTTTAGCCCTCTGTTTGCAAAGAGGTGCCCCTCCACCCATGTCAATTCAGTGCAGTTTAACTCAACTCTATCAAGACCAAAAAACAATTTCTGAGTCTGTCTGTCAGGTGCCCAGGAAGGTGAGTAAGAGGTGGGGTCTATTTTTGAGGTGCTCAGTATCTAAGAAGAGAAGCAGATGTAAATGTGCTGGTACCATATAAGGCAAAGGTGAATGCATGATGAGGCCCAAAGAGGAATGGTTCCTGTTGTCTAGGGAGTCTAAGCAGGAGGTGGCATCTGAGCTGAGAATTGAGGGAAGACACCTTTCCAGGCAGGTGATGGCGGGAGAAAGGGCTCATTAAAGGCCCAGGGCAGGCAAGGACAAAGCAGCTGGTCTTACTGGGGAGGTGACTCAGGAGGATCACAGCACAAAGGGCCATCGAGAAACAAAGCTGGGCTGGGGAGACAAGTGAGACATCCAATCAGGAAGGGTCTTGATGCTGGCTGGGGGACTCTGAACGTGATCCCACAGGAACAGGAGCCAGTGAAGCCTTGGATTTGGTTCAGGTCGGTGAGTTAGTGAACGAGAGGCTGGTGAGAAGGTATATACAGTGAGTGTAGACTCCTCTTTGGAGAAAATTGGCCAAGGAAAAATAGGAGAGTGATAAACAGGACAGGAGCTGGTCAAGAGTGTGAGTCAAGGGGGCAGCTTCTGGTTTTAGGTGGGACATAATTTATCATACTTATGGTCTATCAGGCAAGAGTCAGTAGAAAGAGATGCCGAAAATATAGAAGAAGGGATAATAAGGGGTGAGGTCACTCGGGAAAGGAGTGGAAGGAATCCAGACCAGCCCTGAAAAGCTGCTCTTCCAGCAACAGTGGAGAGAAGGTGATAAAGAGGGTCATGGAATATACAAGTGGTGGAGGGTGGGGTCCTGAGGCAGTGCCCCCTTCACGGGGGCCTCTACTCCTACCATGACATAAGTCATCTGAGCAAAGGGCGTCTGCGGGCCAGAAGGCTCGGGCATGTAAGGGTCACGCTAGAGCGCAGGGGAATAGCAGGGGTATTACTAAGGTAAAGGGACATGTTTCTTTGGAGGACATAAACTGAGGCTCTATGTCTGTTATGGGAGAAATTCACCTCCTCGTGTTGCCCCCGCCTTCTAGCTGATTTCTCTAGCTGTGCCTGGAAGGAGAAAGACTTCAAAGAGGAACTGATAAAAACAGAGACCTGCTGGGAGGGACATGAGAGGCAGAGGCTGAAGAAGTGAAGGGTATTTGAAAAGCTAGCCAGGGGTGGGGACTGCTAGGGAAGGAAGTGGGTCAGGACGAAATCTGGAAAACATGGAGGAAGGCGGGGAGTCTTAGGGACCTGCCTTGGTCATACAGAATCAGAAAGCCAAGTGTGTCACTCCATCCCAGGAACCCCAAGAACCTACTTTGGGCCCGTCCATCAGCTCTGTAAGTGGTGTTTGTAGGAAGAAGGTGGACACGATGAGGTAGACTTCCGGAATATGAACATGGTGGGCCAGAAAGTCACTCAAGACTTGGAACCCAGGAAGCAGGCAGGGGCTCTGGTCAGGCGTGGGAGGGTGGCTCTTCAGGTTATCTATCATCAGGGAGAGGGGCACAAAATCCAATTGAGAAAAACTGCTGTTGCTTCTGGTCCAGGTGAGAACTGGACGCAGAAAGGAATCCCCTACCACCCACCCATCCCACAGAGATGCCAGATGGAAATATATGTCATACATACTGGAGCACAAGAAAGTGCTCAACAAGAATTTTTCCTATTCCTGACATGCTCATTCATTCGTTCAAAACCAGATGCTTATTTGGTGCCTACCACCTTAGAGGCAATAAGACCTCTTTGCATTATGCAATAAGAACATAGTGTTTTGACAAAATATACAGAACCCCAGGCCTTTATCAACTACTTACAATGTGGTGGGAGGGACAGACTTTACAGAATTAAATACCTAAATAAATATGTATAAACGATGATAAGCACTATAAAAAAAAAAAAAAAGAGAGAGTGTAACAGAGGTGCCCTAATCCATACGGGACTCTCCTCCTCTCCTAGAGGAAGTAACATTTGAATCAAGAGCTGAAGGATGAATCCCCATCAAACAGGAGAGCCATGCTGGTACTGAGGGTGGGGGAAGCATCCCAGGAAGAGGGAAAGAGCTAAGGAGGCTTTGAGGAATGGGAAGAAATCCCTAGCATCTGAAGAGCAGTGAGGCCATGGTGGGATCCTAAAAAGGAAGTCAGAGGGGGCTGGGGCTGATGGGAGGGAAGGGGTCAGGGTCAAGGTGATCCTACAGCACAGAGCTGTGAAAGCCCCAAGCAAGTCCTGGCAGGTCCTCACTCACAGACCACAAGAGGCACCCTGCCTCCTGGAGATGACCACACACTCACCCATCATGATGTCCACGCCCTCGGAGCTGCGTTCCACCCAGGACCCTGCAGACAGGCCATCTTTAAATCGCCCACGGAGGGAGGGGTTTGACAAAAAGTGCAGCAGCAGCTTCAATCCCAGCACCACTGTGCTGGGGTGCACATGGCCCTGCACGAATAGCAGGAACCAATCGGGCCCCAGGTTCAGAAACATCTCTTCCTTTGCCCTGCGGGGGGAAGGGGGTCAATAAATGCTAAAATTACCTCTCAGCCCATAAGCAAAGGACATGTCCAGAAAATTCAAATAACGTTCAGCTTCACTAGTCACCTAGAAAAGGCGAGTTAAGTTTAATATCTGGATATCACTTAGCAAAGTACATGCTACATTTTAAAAGATCGGTAAAATTAAATGCTGGCAAGGTTGCTGTGAAATAGATGAATTTGCCTATCAATGGCTGAAGTGTAAGTTGGCCAAAGCTTCTGAAAGCAGTTGGAAACTATGTACCAATAGATGTAAAAATATGCAGGCCCTTTGATAGCCCTACTCACTAATATTCCTGCCTACACAGTGTCTGAATGGCCACCCATCTAATTACATCAATGCAGTCACATAAAACACATAATGGTTACTGAACTCCCTTTTTAAACACACTGTTCAAAACTAATCTAAATGGGATAGTCCAATATTTATGCACCTTTATTGGCTTAGACAAAACAATACATGTTTAACTGTCACTTTCAAAACTGAATTTTAAAACGATGAGTCTAGAGAGTACAGACTTGCTAGAGGGAAAGGGAGGGCAGGGAGATGGGAAGCCAATCCTCAGGGGCAGTGGTTCAGCAAAGGCCTCAGCCCCGTGCGAGCCAGGGAGGGATCCATCCTGGCTGGGCAGTGCTCTCGGCACGTGCTGCCGGATGAGGCATGGTGAGGGCGTGGCCACCAGGACTAGGAGTCAAGAGGCCATCTTCTCTTCTAGTCATGTCTCCGTTTGCTAACTGGATGGCTTTGGCAGAGCTCTTGATGAGCTCTGGTCATCTTCCTTCATTATGAGGAGGAGGAGGAGGAGGATGCTGGTGGTAGCGATGATGATGGTAATGAGAGCGGTGGCGGCGATGGTGATGGTGGTTAGCCGATGGAGTATTTATAGTATCCCAAGCACCATGTTCAGAGCTATCCACATATTAATTTCCATCTATGGCGGCTACTATCTTAATCCTCATAAAGATGAGTAGAAGAGAGGCATAGAGGGCAGGCTCAGGTAACCTCCCCGAGGTGCCTGGGGGACAGAGCTGGGATTTGAACCCAGGAGGTCTAGCTGTCAGAGCCCAGGTGCTTAAGCACTACACTACATTCCTTTTCAAAAAAGTGAAAAGGCATCTTCCAGTTCTACCACGCTTTGATTCTAGACACGTAAAGACTTTTTAAGCACTATGTGAAAGGCCGTTTTACTGAGGGGTAACTCCCCACCCTGATTCTTCCCTGCCCCAAACACACATACACACTAAAATGTCAACTCAGTGAGAGTAATAAGGATCCAGACTTTCCTACTCAGCACTGCGTTTTCAGAGGGAGGAATGGCGTCTGGCACACAGGAGGTACTCAACAAACAGTTCTTGAATTAATGACTCCAGAGCTCAGACAAAGCAGGCAGTCGGAGAGAGTTAACGGAATTTTATGATTACACTTTGTTTTTGAAAGTTAACTGAAGGCAGATACTTCTTTTTCCAACTTGGAAAAATAACTAAATGACAGTAAATAGCAGAAGAATTTGGCAAACCTTTTCCTTGGATAGATGTTATTTAGGCTAACCGTTTCTCCATTCTATTGTCTGCCAAGTATAGGACATCAAAATCGGTAATTATCACAACTGCCAAAACAATAACAATGACACTATAGCAATGGTGACAAAAAGCGTTTACTGTAATTACACCAATAATTTTCTTTCTGACTAGTGCAGAAAACCAACTCAGAGATGCTAAACGTTTCATTAAGAAAAGGTTTTAATACGCACTCTGTATGAAGCAGCCTCATGCCAAATCACTCTTTCTGGAGCTACTTACTCAGAGGACAGATGAAGTCGGGAAGAAGATATTACACTGAGCAGCATCTCCAGCAACTGGTTTCTGAGCCAGATTGTCTTTCCAGATGTTTGACTTCCAGCTACAAAAAAGAAAATTCAGATTTGAGAAAAAACAGATGTAAAGAGACACAGTATTTGCTGCAGTAAGCAATCGTATTCACCAAATGCTTAGTTCTCCCAGGAGTTGAGACATGGATGGGACTTGAAATTTTGGCTTTCAGTTCTAGACTTCCATGCAATGCTTAAAAAGAATTTCAGGAAATGTTCCTAAAGTTCCCTTTAACTAGAGATGTTTTTGATGCTCCCCAATCACCACCCCTCACCAAAAAAAAAAAATCCTAAAAATGATAAGGTCAAATTCTCCTTCCAGTAGAGGAATTTTTTAAATTATCAGAGGCTGCAACACTTCCTGAGCACCTACTACATGCTGGGCATTATGCAAGGCACTGGGGGCAAAGAAGTGAAGACTGTGATCCTTGATCTGAGTTCCTGCTCTCAATCTGTTTTCTAGGCTAGACCTTTGGCATGTCTATGTTGCACTAAAATTAGAGCTTGAATTGTAGCAAGAGGTATATGGTTCCAACGGAAGAAGAAACTTTACTTCTGAAGTGTTATTATAACCCTGAAGGCCATGTAAATATTGTCTTAATAGAAGATGTTTAGTGAGATGAAAGTTTTAGCATGGAGTCCCTATGAGAAGAAGGGTTGACGAAACAGTACACTGTTGTCTCATTATCCATTCATTTTACCCCTTGGTTAGCCAGTTATTTTACCACCAGTTTGGGGCACACCCGCCATGCTGTAGAAATAGGACTGAGGAGGCAGCTTGGAGAACCGGAGTCAGAGTCCCCTCTATTTGGATTCTGGCCCCATCTCTCATTAAGGTCCTAATCTCTCTGAGCCTCCGTTTTCTCATCTGTAAAATGGGAATAATAATTCCTACTTTTCAGGCTTGATCTAAGGATAAGAGATAATTTATCTGGATTGAGTAACACTATCTAAGAGAATCTTTTGCGGTAAAAGTGTTCTCTATCTGTCCTGTCCAATGCAGTAACCACTGGCCTCACGTGGTTATCAAGCACTTGGGACAAGGCTAGTGTGACTGATGAACTGAATTTTTAATTGCATTTCATTTCGGTTAATTAGAATTTAAATTTAAATGGCCATGTGCAGCTAGAGGCTCCCATCTTGGACACAGCAGATCCAGAGGGCCCAGGGCAAAGCAGTCAGTAGTTGTCCCCCTCACATTTGCCCTAGCAGAGGGAATTTGGAACACGATGTAGCTGCGGTTCTGAGTCTGGTTAGGGAGAGAGAGACTCAAAGAAACAAATCACAGACCTTTGCATGAGATTAAACGCAAGGGCTCTAGAAGCAAAGAAGAGATGACTTAACCTGGCTTGTAGGACTGGGAACGGCTGGTCTAGCAGGGTGAGATGGGGTGGGGGCGGGGCAAGGGAGGCATTCCTGCAGAGCGAACAGCACCTGCAGAGCATGGATGGACGGGCGGACCGTCACACATTAGGACGTGTACGTGCTTCAGAGTGTTGAAGCTGAGGCTCATCAGGGGAGCAAGGCAAGGGCTGGGGCATGAAGGCTCCCACCTGCTGGTCTACAGGGAACTGAGCATTATCCTGGAGGCCCTGGAAGCCATTCCAGGTTGTGAAGGAAGCACATACAATTTGCGCTTATTCGTGACCACAATCATAGAGCTGTGACCCCATAAGCCACCGTGTGGGAACAACAGCTCGGCTGTGGATGCCTTCCCCCTCCACCCCCTCAGCCTTGCATGCACAATGGCCCCACAGCATGTTCCTCTCAGGGCCGTCATGGGGGTTGTCTTGCTGCCTTCAGGCTGGCGTCTGGGAAAGGTCTTCTCACCAGGCACGGAGGGGTCCGGGGCTCCATCCACGCAGATCTGCCTCTCGTTCACCGATGAAGGCTTGAGGGTGTACACAACAAACAGCCCGATTCTTAAGACAGAAAGAGAAGGACACGCTCAAATGTGGGCTCAGCCCCTGTCTCCTAAACACACGTGAAGGTTTTCTACAGTGATCCACCTAAATGCGGCTTCAAGGGAGGGTTTGAGGGGAATCGTGTTATTCTGTGATCAATGTGATATTTCCAAAGACTTCTCAGATCTGTCAGGATTCATCAGAGCAGCTAGCTCTGGCTCTGCCAGCTCAACAGAACGAACAGTGATGAGGGCAAAAAAGGTGAAATGTCCTGCCAGAGGGCACTATCCTTTGGGAAGTCTGCAAAAGGCAGGCATGTTGGGTTGTTGGTCGGTGAGGATGCCTGTGCTCACGGAATTTCTGGAGTTCTTGGCACACGAGGTGTGTCCGAGCACCAGGGAGCAGTGAACACACAGCCCTGCTGGGGAGTCTAGCAGACCCACCCCTTTTTTCAGCTCTCCGCCCTGAACAGAGAAACTCCTAGGAGGTTCCAAGGAAATAGAACCTGCTGCTGCATTGAAGGGGCAGTGCTGCTGGGCTGAGCATGGTCAGGGGAGAGCTGGCGCCTACGTTCCCTCATTAAACAGCCCCGAGGCTCTGCCCTTCCCCCTGGGGACCTGGCGCAGTACCTGTGCAAGTCCTGGAGGCTGAAGTGGCCCCTCAGCTGACAGCCCAGGATGGCAATGATGGTGGGTATCTTGGAGGGGGCGAGGCCTGGCTCATTGAAGAGGAAGACGAGGTTGGGAATAAGCCGCGCCTGGTGAGCAACTTCAGCATTCCGGGGTCCTTCCCTGGCGAGCCCAGGAGAGAGGCAGTAAAAGCTTTTACTGGAATGAACCAAATTTGCTATGCTTCTGCTAAAAAGGTTCCACAGGCTGGGCTTGCTCCGTGGCCCTCTGACTCCGATGCGCTCTTGGCAACTCGTCAAAACGCTATCAGACACCCATCGAATACGTGTCTGCCCAGTGCCAGAGTCGCTCGGAGATGAGCCTCCCGGTGCCCTTCCACCCCTCCACCCCCTCACGCCCCCACCCCTGAAAACTGCCTTCAAAGACAACCCCAGCTATTGACTTTTAAATTCCAAGCCTCAGGGAAAACTAATGCTGGTCTCAGAAAACTCAGAACAAAGAGAGCAGACTGGAGTGTGACCGCCGGGGCACTTCCCAATAGCCGGAGCGTGGGCCTCCGCGAGCCCGTCTGGGTGTGCGTCTTCCTGCCCACCCCAAACCACAGAGTGGATGAACACGCCGTTGAGAGTCAAAGGGGGAGAGAGACAGAATTCAAGCCTCCGCACTCCCTCCTTAGGATAATCGCGAATACAATTTCCAGTAAATTCTACTCCCCCAAAGAAAACAGCTTCCAGGGTGAGTGTCCGTCTCTTAGAAAACAACAGGTACAGAAAGAAAGTGGAAAGTGAGAAAGAAAATAAAGGTGGAGGAGAATGAATCTGGGTGGACTGCTCCTTCTTGAACTGTCTTTTCAGTACTACTGTGTTGAATTCTGCCGAGTGCCACATCTCTGATACACAAAAGAGGCAGAACCAGCGTAGTCCTGCGTGTGACTTGCTCTCATGGGCTCAATGGGAAGATGTGCATTCATCACCTATGAGACCCCACTGACCTTTGTGCTCTTTCGAATCACAGCACTGAGCAGCCTGCTCTTCTGTATTCCTCCACCACAGGGCTATGTCTTGTCCTTCTCTGAACTTCTAGCACTAAGAACTGGTATGGAATGGAGTGGGTTTATAATAGATAGGCCATCATGAGCGGCTGCATGAAAAGATGGCTGCAAATACATTCAAAACACCGAGGTCCTAATGATCTCCAGAAGAGCTGACACATGAGGAGGCAGGTGGGGGTGTGTGTGAACAGCTTTATTTGTGAGGAAGGAGGTGGATTGATAGGCTGGCACCCCTGGCTCCCTTCTCCCATATTCTCATCCCTGGTTTTCCTTGGGAATTACCTCTTCCTAACTCCCCTCCATCCGCTCCAGAGGGGAAGTCATGCTGCCTGGCCACATGACCCGAGATGGCCCCGTGAGACTCCATCCTATTGCTGGGACTATCGAGTGAAAAAGAAGCCCTGTCTGCCGACTGTGCTGGGCAGAGGACATGCTGTGAGGATGCCCAGCCAGACCGAAGTTAGCACAGAAGAAAGCAGAGATGAGACTAGGGACAGATCTCAGCTAAAGTAATCTGAGCATCACGCAGACAACATGTGAAGCTCTGCCTCGGTCAATTGTATGAGCCAATAAATTTCCCCTTTCTCCACCTTCCTTTTTTCCCTCCCTTTCGTTGGTCTGAGTTGTATTTCTGCCACTTGCAATCGAAAGAGCCCTGACTAATTCAAAAAGTGACACTCAGTGTGATGGTATTTGGAGGTGGGGCTTTTGAGAGATGCTTAGGTTATGAGAGTGGAGCCCTCATGAACGGGACTAGCACCCTTATAAAAGAGACCCCAGAGAGTTCCCTCACCCCTTCTGCCATGTGAGGTTGTAGTGAGAAGACAGCAACTATGAACCAGGAAGTAGGTCCCCACCAGACACTCAATCTGCCAGAGCCTTGACCTTAGACTTCCAGCCTTCAGAACTGCGAGAAATAAATTTCTGTGATTTGTAAGCCACCCAGTCTACGGTATTCTCATTACAGCAGCTGTGCAGACTAAGACAGACATGTTACCACCTGGGGACCCAGTGCTCTGGGAGGGGAGAAGGCCGTGGTTGCTGAACCACCGGCTGTCCTGTCCTCTCAGTCCCTGTTCTTGGCATGAAGCCTTTGACTGTACCCCCAGGCTGCCAAAGCCCAGCTTACCTTGGTGATTGAAGGATTTCCACAAGATGGGAAAAGAGGGAGAGCTCCAAGTTGTCCGCAGCATTCATCCAGAGCTAGAAGACAGAACAAACACAGTGAAACCAAGGTGTGTGGAGAGAAGGGTTTCCAGGCAGCGTGAGCAGGTACGGTGCTGGGCGTGGTCTCCTCTGACTTGGAATCACTAACACAGCTTACCAGCTCTGGAATCAGACTAGCTCTCCTGACAGCTAGAAGGTAGAGGGCACCTGCCCCCCATTCCTATCGTCCCCATCTCTGCTGCTCTCTGGAGCTTCACTGTGGGTCTAGATTCTAACCAAGGACACCTGCACTAACCATCTCCTACGTGTGTCCCACCCTGGGCCCTGCAACCTGTTGTGTCCACACACCAAACAACATCTCATTTTCATTGGATCCTACAAGGCAAATACCAGTGCTCCCAATTCAGAGATGTGAGAAGACAGGCTGAGACAGACCACTGAGTGACAGGTACCTCACCACCCGCAAGCGATAGGACTGGAATTAGAAGCTGAGTCCCACCTCTCAGGTTTTATGCTGTAGCAACTTGTGCATGCAGTTTCTTCAGTTCCCCTATCTACAGAACCTGCAGCACAGCCCATGTTCCCATCTCCTGTAAACAGAATTGTGAATGACATGTAGGTGTGAAATGCACTGAGATTCTGAGAGTGAACTTTATCACTGGGGTTGCTTTCTTCATTGTAAACAAAATGCAGCTGCTCCCCATCCTTCTGGGGCAGAGGTGATGGTGTGCCTTCATGCCTCATTTCTACTTCCCTTTAGAGAGCTCTACTATTTCTCATCTAAATGCTGACATTTCCTAAGGCCCAGAATCTATAAGGTTCAGATGTAGGATTATAAGAGTGCACTCATATAGCAGCAAAAAGAGCTCACACTTACAAATGATACCATTTGCTTGAGGCAAGAAGCATCATACAAAGTCCTAAAACGATATCATTATCTGCGTTTAGTAGGTAAGAACAGTGAGGCTCAGAGAGACTGAGTAACTTGTCTGGCGCCCCACGGTTTTTAATTGGCAGAGATGGCTTCAAAGCCTGGTCAGTCTGACCATGAAGCCCACTCTCTTGCCTCCTCTCTGTGTTCCCCTACAGGCATCTCCTGCAGACAGTGACCCAGAGGGTCAATAATCAACCTCACTTGAACCAAGCAGGTGGCCATGGCTCCATCCTTTTACTTATTGGGGAAAACAGAAGAGTCTCGGTGGACATAAGTTTATCAGGAAGGCAGAGACTGTCCCTCCCCAATCCCCAGGGCCCAGCATTACATATGCCATGTAGTGGGCACTTAATAAGGATCCATTACATTTTTTAAAAGAGTGAATGCAAAGTAAACCAAAGTAAGATAAGTGGATTACTCTTAAGCCAGAAACAGGCTGACAGATTTCCAGCTCCTATAAGCACAGCCACTGCCGACTACACACAGAGGTGGGGCAGCTGCCATTTAAGAGAGCTGGTGTGGATCGATGTGGCTCCCAGGGAGGTAGGGGTAGCCAGACATGGCATCCCAGCATACTCGAGAGGGTGCCAAGAGCTTTGCATACTTGGAATTCATTCATTCATTCACGAAGGCAATCATGAGCAAATGATACAGCAGGCTCTGTGTCGGGAGCTGGAAGAGCTGAGAAAGTAAGACAGGAACCCTGTGGTACCACTTACCCTTCCCACAAAACAATACCCCTCCCCCCGTTCCCTTTTCCAGAGCTTTAGAACAATAAGAAGTTGCCACAGCACATTTGAGGCTGCCTAGCTGTTTTAGAAATTATTTTATATAATACCAACTGTCTGAATTTTGGGAAACATGCATAATTGAATCCTGCGGTTGTCATCCTGTGTCACATAACCCCTGTACGAAAGACTGCATTGAGATGTCTGGCTTAAGTTTGTTCGAATATCAAATTCTGTTCTCTCCCCACTCCTGGGACCACCTCACTCTCAGAAAGAGGTGGCCTTTTCTGAGACCACAAGCCTAAGACATGCGTGACTTCGACTTCCTGTCCCTTCCAGATTCTCAACTTCCTGTCCCTCCCTGCTGCACACCCGGCATCAAGGATCACGCGCCTTCTCCTGTAACCCACTCTCTGGTCTCCAAACCCTCCCTTTCCTTGAAGGACTTGTCCTGTCAGTTTGATTCTCACACTGGTATTTTAACCACCCCCTTTTCACTGCTCAAGTCTCCCATCTAAGTTCTGAAACGCTTCTCCTTCTATTTTCTTCTCTCTCTTTTTCTTCTTCAAAAGCCCAGTGACTGTCTCCTTCCTGCCTCCTCCCCGCTCTTCACCTCATGTCTGACCCCACCATTTACTCTTCACTGGGCCCGTCAGTGACCTCTAAACACAACCGACACAGCCCTGCCCTTACTTCACCTGATGTAGGCAGACACTGGGGAAACTCTTCTTCTTTTTGAAATTCTCTCCTCCCAATCTTTTAAAAATTTTATTTCATTTCATTTTGTTTTAGTGTGGGTTTTTAGCATCTTTTTGCTTGTTTTTATTGGTTGCCTATTTTCTTAACCCCAGTGAAAAAGCACTGGCTCAGCTGAGGGGTAAGTTTATTCAGGGAGGGGACGGATGGTGCCCATGGCGGTTCCAGGAACAGGCAGTGGGAGCATGGTGGGTTCCTGCATGGGTCATTCCTGGGCTGGGCTGATGGCAACGATGTCATGGAACCAAGCTGCCTGAGCACGGCCGCAGCATTTTGGAAGGGGCAGCAGTGCTGCCAAGGCATGCTGTCTTGTTTACCAGGGTGGTAAAGCCATTTGTGCATATCTGCTTCCCCGTTGTGCACAGGAAGCCCGTATCGCAGGCCTTGCTGGATTCCCCCACAAGCCTTGCATCTATCTGCAGATCCAGGTCTGGATGTTCATCCTGGCCTGGTCCAATTAGATAGTATTTCATTTAGGTTTTTTGTAGCTTTTATTTATGAGTAAGATTGACCTGTACTTCTTCATTTCCCATACTATCCTTTTTTGGTTCTGGTATCAAGATTAGCTCATAAAAGAAGCTGGGAGAAATAATACCTACACTATGATCATGACTATGATTTTTAAAAAGTACATATATTATGCATAGAAAGTACAAAAAAAGGGATGCATTCAAAGTTAACAACAGTCATCTGGGTCTCAGAAAGAGGAGTTTTTCTTCCATTTTTCTGTAATTTAAAATATTCTATAACAAGCACATATTATTTTTTAATTAAAATAAACAGTTTTTAAAATACTTCCATGGACTGCAGTGTGTACCGGCTAAAGTGTGCGCCCTGCAGCTTACCATCCCCCGCTGTCTTCTCTCCCTCCCCCTCCAGCCTCACCTCTACCTGCAACAACATCCCCACAGGTGCCCCAAGCCCCTTGCTCTCAAATCCCCATGGTTGCTCTCATTCCCACATGTGAGCAAATAGCATCCACTCCACCTGAAATATTCCCCCATTGAACACATTCTGTCAAACGCAGCCCCAGAGCCTGGGATCTGCTGAGCTGACTGTCCTCTCCTTCCACTCCCCAGATGCCCTGTGCCTCCCTCACTGGCACCCAGCACACTGTAGCACCACCTCTGTCGTGTCCTGGGCCCCATTGTTGCGTGCAGGGGCTGCATTCTGGTTATCACCAGTCTCCAGAACACACCAGTGCCCGACCCTAGTGGGCACTCAGTAAACGATGCTTCGTGAATGGATCTATCCACCCAAAGGTCTGTGCAGTACTCCTCACTCAGCCTCAGGTGTGCCCTCAGCATCTCTCACTCATCCCTTTAAAGGAACATTTATAAACAGCAAAGCACCATCCAAAGGAATTGGTATGTTTTAAAATCCTTCTTATATATGGAAGCTTACACTTTTAAAATCCTTTTCCAGATACTATCTGATTTGGCTCCCACACCAGCCTGTGAGGGAGAGGAGATGGTCTCCCTTTCACACATGAGAAGACTGAAACTCAGAGAAGTCAAGAGACATGCCCGAGGCTACACAGCCCATTGGTGGTAGGAGTTAATTATTAAACAAGGCCTTTGAACCCCAAAGTCTTGTCAGTTTTCTGTCTCACTATCATCTTGACCATCGAGGAAGCTGACATGCTGGGTTTAGAGAAAGCTCCAGGCTTTCTGTTCCATCACACACCTGTTCCTTTAGGGCTAGTGACCAGTCTCCAGTTTACCTCGAAATTGCAGAGGATGTGCTGGAATACACCAACGTTGGTGATAGTAGAGGACCCAAAGCCCAGTTCTGCGGTGCCAGCAATAGACAGGATCAGCTGAAAAATGCGATGGTTTAGGAAAGAGGTCTTTTTCCTCAGGAGAAACGCCATTATCTGCAAAGGTTAAAACACAAAGCAGTTTACTCATGAATGCATCATCACCGCTCTTTCTCCCCCACCCACTTGTTCCCACCAGCACCTTTGGTCAGCCCAGTCTGAAAACGTTCCGCTGTCTGGTGCTACCTCTTCCATTCCCTTATTATCAGAAGGAAAACATATACCAACTTCTGTGGCTGCTTCCCCACCAGTGTCTGCTTTTCTGTACTTGAGGCTTCACCTCTCACTGTGGGCCCCCGGCTCCTTCCTGAATTTTACACGTTTCCAGAATGCCACCTTCTCCTGGTTTCTTTCTACATTTCTGAGTATTTTTCTCATTTTCCTTTACCGAATCCTACATTCATACCCATCCTACAGATGTTGCTATATCACTAGGAAGCCACCACCGGCCCACGAACCCAGTTACAGCAGCTTCACTTCAGGCTGCTGCCAACAGATGTGCCATTCTGCTGTGCCAGGCCCTGGGAAACTGGCAACACGCAAGCATCCATACCGAGTTGGAGGCACTGGGATCCCAGTGGCCCACACTCATCTCAGATACTGATAAGATGGACCTCACCTAGCCTCATGTCTCTGTTGACCTCAGTCACACAAAAGTCAGGCTGACCCACCATCCACTTGCATCAACTCCATCTGGATTCTCAGCTCAGCTCATCCACAGCTCAATTCCCTACGCCTGTATCTGACACGGTCCACCCTCCTCCCTGTCCTCTCAGACACGCTCTTCCAGTGTGTCATTAGGAAGTCTCACTTGTTGTTATGAATTGAATGTCTGTTCCTCCCCAAATTCACATGTTGAAACCCTATTCCCCAATATGATGGTATTTGGAGACAGGTCTTTTGGGATATAATTAGGATTAGATGAGGTCATGAGGGTGGAGCCCTCACAGATGGGATTAGTGCCCTTATAAGAGTCACAAGGGAGCTTTCTTCCTCTCTCTGCTCTGCCATGTGAGGATACAATGAGAAGTTAGCCATCTGCAACCCAGAAGGGAGTCCTCACTCAACCTGACCATGCTGGCACCCTGATCTTGGACCTCCCAGTCTCCAGAACTGTGAGAAAATTAATTTCTGTTGTTTATAAGCCACCCAGTCTATAGTATTCTGTTATAGCAGCCCAAACTGACTGAGACAATTGTAATCAGAAAATAATATCTTTTCAGACTGTTCCAGTCACTTCTCCAGCATATCCCCACTCCCCAACCAGGACATAATTAGGATGGCTGAAAGCTGCTTGAGAAAAATCACTCAGGCTGACTGGTTTCACTTTACATTAACAGTGTCAAATGTCAAATTGGTACTCAATTTGGCCTGGCAGTCCAACTCTTTTTTTAGTAAGCTGTCTTTCCTCATCCTAAAGATGATGATCTCATCTCTTCTCTCTCCTTCAGCCTCCCTCCCCTCCACCACCTGACTCAGTACACAGCTGAGAATTTAGAACCCATCAGACGTGAACACTCTCACGTCCCCACCATCAGATCCACAAATGCCTGCACTGCATTCCTTCCTGTCACAAGCAGGGTTTCTATTCACCTGGCCTCTGGGACCCACCCCTCACCTGCTCCTTGGGATAGCTCTTCTCTCCTAGCTTCATCCATCCTTCTCTCTTCTGTCACCTTCTTCCCGACAAATATGCCCTAGTAGTTCTCCTTTTAAAGATAACCTTCCCTTGAACCCTAATCCCTCTAGTTTGGGCCCCATTTCTCTACTCTTCTTTGTAGGTAAACTTCTTGAAAGCACTATCGGACTTCCCTGGTGGTGCAGCGGTTAAGAATCTGCCTACCATTGCAGGGGACACGGGTTCGAGCTCTGGTCTGGGAAGATCCCACAGGCCGTGGAGCAACTAAGCCTGCAAGCCACAACTGCTGAAGCCTGAACACCCTAGAGCCTGAGCGCCACAACTACTGAGCCCTCGTGGTGTGCTGCAACTACTGAAGCTCGTGTGCCTAGAGCTCGTGCTCCGCAACAAGAGAAGCCACCACACTGAGAAGCCCTCGCACTGCTACAAAGAGTAGCCCCCGCCCACCACAACTAGAGAAACCCCGTTGCGCAGCAACGAGGACCCAACACAGCCAAAGATTTTTAAAAAATTAAAAAATAGAAAGCACTATCAACACACTCAGGCTCCACATCCTCACTTCACATCCTCTTCTCAATCCCCTTCCGCTGGTTGCTGCCTCTTCCTGCCCACCTGCCTTAGAAAGGTCACTAGTGACTCCCAGGTGCCAAGTCCAACAGGGACTTCTCTGTCCTTAGTTTGCTGCATTATTTATCAGCATCTAGCATTGTTTGACTATGCCCACCTTCTCAAAACACTTCATTTTTCAAATTCTTTGACAAAGCATTTCTTTGTTTTCCCTTCCTTATTCCCTCTCAACCTCCCTTGTTGGGTTTTCATCATATTTCCAAGCTCTACCTGGTTAGTTCCTCACTGCTTCCTCCTTTGTCCTCTTCACTACTCCTTTTCTTTGGCTATTTCATCAATTTCCTTAGATTAAATACCATCATGGTGCTATTGATGACTCTCACATCTATACCTCCCACCAAGCACGCCCTTCTGAACTCCAGAGCTGGGTATCCCACCTGATATTTTACCTTTGATGTCTCACAGTCACTTCACACTTAGCATGTCCCAAATGTCTTATACCTTCCTGTCGGCAGCACTCTGGGTGCACAGCACTGGCTGTTTTCATATGCTACGTGCCAAGACTGCTCACAAAGACTCCAAGTCTCCCCAGATCCGGGATGCAGTCTCACATCATGTTGGATTCTATCCAGTCTCCGATCTTGACCCTTCAAACCATCTTCCACACAGGTGTCAAATGTCATTCTAAAGCATCATTCATTCCACTTCCCTGTTCTAAGCCTATGAATGGTTACTCATCACCTCTGAGATAAGATCCATGCTCCTTGGGGTGGCAGGGCTCTGACCCTTCCCTCCGTCTCCATCTAGGCTGTGCACCTGCCTGCAATTGTACTTTCCCCCCGGCCATGTCGAGGAACCCATCTTGGATCCCTTAAGTGTTCATAATGTTAATCTAGAACACCATCCTCCATCTTTACCATGTTATGAAAATCCATCTTATAAAACTTGGTTGGATGTCACCTAGTCTGACAAGAGGATGATAAATAAGTTTGATAGAAATAACAGATAGGAAGGGTTATGCTCTCCAATCAGCAAACCAACAGATGAATACAGAGTAAACGTCTAAAAAATGATTAAATCCACTCCTGAGCCAGCCAGTTAATTGAAGACCCTTGTTTTCATTCACTGATTCATTCCAAAAATCATTCCTAAACACTTACTGTCTACCATGTGCTCTTAGGACGCAACAATGAACAAGCAAACCAAGTCCTGTCCTCATGGGGCTTGTGTCTAGGGGCAAAACAGACCACAAACATGGCAACAAGTACATATTCAACATGCCAAACAGGCATGCACATTGGGAAGAAACAAAGCCAAGAAAATGTGTCTAGAAAGAGATAAGGGTTCTGTTTTATAAGGAGTAGTCACGGAAGGCAAAAAAAAATAATAAAAATCTTGTTTCTTTACTCAAACCTGTCATTTCCCACCTGTCTACCACTACCTCTCTCCCTGAATACATAAATTTTTGAAATATTTCTATTGTAAGCCATAAGAGTTTTAAAATTTTTTCTTCTGCCTTCACATGTAAAGGTACAACGAATCTCTGAATCTGATGGGTCCTTTACTCAAACTATTTGGGAGTCCTTGTCTCGTGATAATATTTTTCTCTCTACCTCATTAGACAGTGTTGTAGGCTGACTGTATCTCCTCAAAATTTATATATTGAAACCTAATTGCCAGTATGATGGTATTAGGAGGCAGGGCCTTTGGGAGATGATTAGGTCATAAGGATGGAGCTCTCGTGAGTGGGATTAGTATCCTTATAAAATAGACCCCTGAGAGCTCCTTCATCTTTTCTGCCATGTGAGGACACAGCAGAAAGATGGTTGTCTATGAAACAGGAAGTAGGTCCTCACCAGGCACCGAATCTGCCAGCACCGTGGTCTTGGATTTCTCACTCTATAGCACTCTGAGAAATAAATTTCTGTGGCTGTTAAGCCACCCCATCTATGGTATCTTTTATAGCAGCCTACACAGACTGAGTCAGACAGAAATTTCCATGGAGGGAGGGACTAAACCCATTTATTCATCTGTATCCCTAGCCTGACACTGTGCCTGGCTCTTAGGAGGTGCTCAGTCACTATGAGTTGAGTAAATAGATTCCATTCAAGGGCCACGTTTTTGCCTCTACCATCTCTTTCTGAAAAACTCAGCCAATCCAGTCCTCTAGGCCTTCTCCGATCCCCTTTCTTTTTAAAGAAGCTCTTTGTGACTCCTCTACCAAGTGTGATGCGGCCACCTCGGCAGCTCTGGAGCACATTAACGCTCCCAAGGCACTGCATTCATACGACAAGCACTCACTGAGAACTCACGACGTGCTGGGCCCTGCAGTGGGCAGCGAGGAGACAACGGCGAACACAACAGGGCCCAGCTCTTAGGAGCTCCAGGGTTCTGGGAAGATGGAGGGTAACCACTGGGTCACAGAGAGAGACTGTGGTAGCTCTGGAAGAGAATCTCGGACACTTGTTGCATTTGATTTGTACTAAAATTATTCTGGTATTCGTCTTATTTTATCCTTCTAGGTGTACCCACGAGAGCAGGAACTGCTTTGGACCTTTTTAGAAATGCTCACGGTAATTATTAAAATTCCTAGCCAGAGCGGACATCCATGTGCTGAACTGGGACAAATCCCACTACTACTGCCTTTAACAATATAATCAGAGAAAACTGTTATATACCAGGAGCCTCAATACTTGCATTTTGATATAAATCTGGCCACACACATTCATTTATCCCCCAGATATTTACTGAGTCTTTCTGGTCTCAGTAATACACTGGCAAAGAACAAGAAAAGCCCAGGGCTTTAGACCATTACAGTCTGATGGAGATGAGCAGAGCGATCATCACAGCACTGCATGAGAGCAGTTAGACCTGGGCATACACAGAGTGCCACAGAGGCCGGGAGACGACCACACAGGCAGTGCAGGGGTCAGGGGAGATGTCTCCCTTGCCACTGGAGCTCGACCTGAGAAAACAAGAAGGAATGTGCCTGGGAAGAATGATCAGCAAACCGTGGGCACAGGAACACAGGGTCACACTATGTGTTCAGTGATCCATGACCACACGGGATTTGAGGACACAGGAGTGTAGGGTATGAAACGTTGGCCGGGTGGGGGGTGGGGCTGGAAGGACAGGTTGGTATCCAGTTAGAAAGGCCTTGAGGAGTTGGGATATTGTATCAACGACCGGACGTGTCTGAAGGGTTTGCACGAGGCAGAGGTGTCATCAGGTCTATAATGTAGAACTGTGACTGGCATCAGTGGGCCTTGAGGGAGAGGCAGGAGGAAGGGGCTGCTGTCTGGCTGTGGCAGCAGTCCAGGTGAGAGGGGGTGTGCCTGACGTGACACCATACAGCTTTCTTCTCAGACCCTGACTCGGGGGCCGAAGAGACAGGGAGGCCCTCCCCCTGCCCCCACTGTGCCCAGGAGGAAACTGCAGCCTTTGTACCCCAGTGACCTTGTCTAGGCTTTGACCCTGTTCCTGCCCTGCATTAGTCCTTTCTAGGCTGCTTCCCAGCCAGGCAGGGCATTCCTGAAGGACAGTGTCTACAACTCATCTGACATTACGAACAGTACATAGCAATAACAATCACAGTGCACACACACGGCAGTTACTCTGAGCAGGCACATGTCTAAGCACTCAGCATATATTAACTCAGTTATCACAATCCTACAAAATAGGCGTTGCTATTATTCCCATTTTACACAGAGGAGAACTGAAGCACACAGAGATTAAGAACTAAAGATGGCCAACATTTCTAGGGCCCTTACTCTGGGCCAGACATAATTCTAAGCCCTTCACTTGTATTAAATCATCTAGTCCTCACTGCAACCCCATGATACAGGAGATATGATAGATCATATCGTGCAGGTAGAGAAACCGAGACAGAGAGGGTTAATAACTCAGGACTCAGGCAAGGTTAAGTAGTAAGTTAGGCAGAGGCTCAATTCAAACGCAGCATTCTAGTTCTATGGTCTAGGCTCTTAGCCATCATGCTAGATGCAAAGTGGGGGGACCACAAGTGATTCCTGAATTCATCAGTGAAAGGTGCCGGCAGCTGCAGACAGGTGAGCATCCCCATCCTGATCAGAGCCCCTCTCTGGCTGGCTGTCACCTGGCCCTCTGCTCTGGTGACACTGGTCTCAGGACCCAGGGACCTTCAGTTTCCCTTCTCCAAAAGTCATACTAGTGGGAATGTCCACTTGGGCCAGCAAGCCTCCTCCCTGTTCCTCGGGGATGCCGAGGGGGGGCACTGCAGGCTCAGATGTGAGGGTGGGATTACCTGGTACCCACAGATGAGCTGCATCAAGCGATCACACATGACATTGCTGGTCAGGACCGAGTGCAGGACTTTCACAGCTGCGTACAAGGTGTGGTCATCCGTTGCTAAGGAAATGAGGCCCAGGAGGATGGCGGGGCCACCGATGAAGTCCAGGCTGCTGGCAGCAGGGATGGAGTGGAACACCCTTACCCCTGTGTGGGACAAAGGGCATTCCTGAGTATACTACAGCTTCACCGCAGTGGAAGTTCCCGTGGCACCATGCAAGAGCTGTCAGGAACATCCTCCACTCACAGCGGGGGGGACTGTGCACAGGACAGGCTGGGAGGAAAAGTAGGGGCTTTGAAACTTTCAGGTCAATGAGAAATCCTGTGCTGAGTCCTTTCTGGGTCACAGAAGGCTGAAACAGCCCAAGGGATTTCAGACCTCCACCCTCCATCTCAGTCCAGAGTGCCGGATGAGCCAGCTGCCCTCTGAGCCTCAGATTGCTGGCTGCTCTGACAACTTCTGGCTCTTGTCTGCCCTCTAGATCTGCAACGTTGGACCCTTGCATCAGTTCATGGCTTTGCTCCTGCCTGATTGCAAGGCAACCAACAGTCGCTGGCTGTTGTTTTCACCCAAACAACCGCAACCATTGCCTCTGCTCAGAGGCCCCACTGTACGCACTCCATTGTGCATAGACGCCAGCCCGGTCAGTAGCGAGTTCACGACCAGTTGTCAGATGCAGCAAAGTGAACTGACCTCTGCAGGGAGGCTAACTCTCTGGTGAGATTAACTCCCAACTCTCGCCCTCACTGTTCCAGCTCCTCAGCCCTCTCAGTCCTGCCTGCCGCTCCAGAATTCCAGGCTGCACAAGCGATGACGGCCACAACCCTTCTTCCCAAATAGCAGTAAAGGTTCATACCTAATTGGCCTATGGCCACGGCTCCAATGGTTCGAAGAGAACCCGAGAGGTGACTCGCGCAATTTCTTAGCAAGAACACAGGTATGGCATTGTTGCGGGATGAAATGTTCATCTAGAGAAATTGGTAACAATTAATCCAAGAAACCTTCCTGGGAAGGAGGAGGTCTTGTTCATGAGCTCCTGGGGGGCAGGCACCCCCAAGCCTGGCACTCCGTAAGTGTAAGTCCGTGAATGAATAATAACTGAACCAACGTCAGAGGGACTGAAGCCAAAATTCAGGTTCCCCTGTCCTGCCTCCCAGGCTCTGGCTTAACCATAAGGGAGCAACTTCGGTTATACAACTGCGCCGCCAGTGTCCCGCATGCTCACGAGTGCAAACAAATGCTCACAGTGAGGAGCTGATGAGAGCAGGAAGGACCTGAGGACACTGGAGGTGGAACGGTGCTGTGAAGGCCAGAGCTGCCTCCTTCCCGATCTAGGGTCATCCAGCTCTGCAAGCCCTGGCATCACCGGTCTCAGATGGCCAGGCAGACAGGGACCCTGGTCTCCTCCAGCAGAAGGTTCTGTGCTGGTAAGGCACAGCTTTGGTGCTCAACAGGACTTAACCCCTGATCCTGCCGTCTCAGTAAAGGGATAGGGGCCTTCTGTCTGTGAGGGTGGAGAGAACGTAAACAGATCAGCCCAAATTCATCAGCAGCAAGCGAAAGAGCTCTTTATGCAGGAATTCGGAAATAGGAAGTCTAATGGCATCTTCGTCCAGAGACATGTTTGCTTGCTGTTCTGCAAGTTTGTTGTTTGCATAAACACAGTGATTCAAAGAATATTCTGCAATGTTGGGGGGTCAATAGCACCCAGAAAAGGGAAGCTCAGTAGTGTTCCCAGTGTCACAGAGGTTTTTTAAATATTCCATTTGTTCTTGCTCTACCAAGGAAAATGAAGAGCACCTACTTTCTTCTCAGAAATAAGAGGTTTAGTCTTGAGGGATGCGAATGGGCGGGCGTCATGAAATATTTTAACAAATGAAGTGGGAAGCACGCCTGTGTGTAACTGTCTACACATGCACAACCGTGAATTAGTATTCACTTAATCACTGAAAGCTGAAGGAAGCCATGAGATCATGATTCCAAAACGGAGCAGCAAGTGAAGTTAGAGGGCATACCTCTTTGGCAATCAGGCGGCTGTCCACCTCATTGTATGCGTTTCTGATGTCTGCAACGCTGGTGACGGAGGAGCTGGCTATATGAAGGCCAAAGGAAACCCTTTCATCTGCAACCAGGGGCATCACTTCCATACAAGGGTCCTCTCCTAAAATAACACATCTTCAGTTATTTCTATTCTCACTTTACTGAGTAGGAAATTAAGCCTCAGAAGAGTAAGTACCTACTGCTACATGGCGAAGTCATCACTGAGGAATGTTTGTAGCTGCTATATGTTGTTACATTGTATGTCATATATTACATGTTTTGCCCCTACCTGTGATTTCTGACACATAGAAAACTGTAGAGAAATCTCACAATATTAACCCTACTATAAAAATAGAGGCATTCCAGGTATGAGATTACTAAAGCTTGAGACACCTATCGAGAATGTAACCTCGCTCCCAAAATGCTGGGCCGAAAGCCCTAAGGTTTTCAATGAGCTGCATGTACATGGTAAACACATCCTTTGGCATGAGTGCCCAGGTCGCTGAGTCAAGGAGAGCCACATGTGGCACTTGAGAAGGAAGCATGGTGTGAATAGAGAGTTGATGAAACTTCGGCTCTGGACCTGACCTCCTCTCATTGTTCTGGCCAGTGCCCTTTGCCAGAGGAAATGAAGATCAAAGAAGACATGGAGCCTGGAGACAGAAACACTACAGAGCACTCAATCGCCCTTCACCAGGCACGAAGGCTTCCATACATAGATTCATTTATCATTCTTCCCAGATGGGCACTGACCCCGTTGACTTGACAGAGCACAGAGAGCTGTGCTCCCTGCTTGAACAGCCAACAATCAATAATGAAAATGTGGACGTTTTGTCTGCCTGTTTAATAATTGAAGACAACAGTGTACTTTAGTTAAAAAGCTTCTTCATTAAAAGGAATGTAACTTATTTATCTCATTCACTTCCCCCTTTCTTTGCTGATGGTATTACCCACCCACTTTCCTCCATTATGTGTGTTGGAACTGAAATCTAAAGGAGATTGTCATTTCCTTTTCTGACATTTTCTATTGGATTGTAAATATGTAATGATCCAATTACAGAGGTTTTCCCTAATGACCGGCCTGTGCTGAGTTTATTCTTTATAAATAAGCTATAAATAACTGAATGTCCATTTAAAAAATAGTATCGGCAAGATCATTATAAATCAAAACACCCCATACCTTGGGCATGCACAGCTTGGAAGTTACCACAGTATCTTGGGCCAAGTTTGTTAATAACTTCCAGAGTTTCCATTGAGATGGCTTCTTCGAAGAGGTACGCAGGGCCCAGACGCCATATTAATAATGACTTTTGTTTCCAAACTTGAGGGGTAGCAATATATCCATAAACATCCACAAATGAAGATGGATCCATTGAAAAGAATGGTCCTGGTAAGGCCTGAATGTACAACATCTGTTAACATAAAAAGGTTGGGAGGGGGATGATGTAGATGGGAAGTGTTTAACCTCAGAATTAATCAAACAAACACATAAAATATAAAATGATGTACCTTCTTCTTCTCTCAAAGTGACTACTTGTTTTATCTAAAAACATTACAAAGATAACTCTCAAAGCTGAGAAACAGTGCACAAAACAGTTTATAAAATGCTGGTGGGAGTAAAAAACTGACACTGTGCCTTTGGAAACAAATTTGATAAGAAATATAAAGTGCCACTAAAAGGTTCATCTTTTTCTTCCCAGTCATTTCACAAAGAACTTAAATGTCCAATATTGGTACCTTAATTAAGTTTTACATACTAGAAATAATTACAGACTGGAAAGGAAGAAATAAAACTGTCTCTATTTGCAGATGGTATGTCCATGTAGAAAATTCCAAAGAATCTACCAAAAAAAAAGATACTTCCTAGAACTAATACCTGAATTCAGCAAGGTCACAGGATACATGATCAACACACAAAGACTGATTGCATTCTATACACTAACAAAGAACACGCAGAAACTGTAACTGCTCACAAGAAAATTAAATACTTTTTTGCTCTGCAAAATCCCATATGAAAGAGGATGAAAAGCAAGCTATAGATTAGGAGAAATTATTTACAAATTACATATCTAACAAAGGACGGGTATCTAAAATATTTAGATAAACTCTTAAAATTCAACAGTAAAAAACCAACAATCCAATTAGAAGATGAGTGAAACACGTGCATAAGACATCACTAAAGAGGATACACAAGTTGCAAATAAGCACATGAGAGGATGTTCAATCTCATTAGCCATTAAGGAAATGCAAACTAAAACCAAGAGATGTCATCACTACACACCTATCAGAATGGCTAACTAAAAAAGAGTGACATCACCAGATGCAGAGAAACGGGACGACTCAATCCATTGCTAGTGGGAATGGAAAACGGCACAGTCACTATGCAAAAATATTTTGGCAGTTTCTTATAAAACTAAACATGCATTTACCATAGGACCCAGCAATTAGACTCTTAGATATTTAACCCAGAGAAATGAAGACTTAAGCTCACACAAAAACCTGTACATAAATGTACATAGCAGCTTTATTTGTAACATCCCAAAACTGGGAACACCTCAGATGTCCTTCAATGGGTGAATGGTTATGTATCCATATCTGAGTAGTACGGAATACTATTCAGCAATAAAAAAGGGATGAACTACTGACACATACAACAACTAAGATAAATTTCCAGAGAATTATGCTGAATAAAAATCTAATCCTAAATATCACATACTGTATGATTCCACAGATATAACCACATCTTTTAAATGACAACATTTTAGCTTACTGGTTGCCAAGTTTAGGGACAGGGATTGGGAGGGGGTGTGGGTGGGTGGTGGTGGTAGTTATAAAAATACAACAAAAGAGATCCTTGTGGTGATGGAAATGTTCTGTATCTTGGTGGGAGCAGTGGATGCAAGAACATACAAATGTGATAAAATTGTATGGAACTAAATACACACACACGAGTACAAGTAAAACTGGGGAAATCTGAATGAATTAGCAGATTGTATCAATGTCAATATCTTGGCTGTGATATTCTATAGTTTTGCAAGATATTACCATTGGAGTAAACTGGATGAAAGGTACACAAGATCTCTTTCTTTTTTTTTTTTTTTTTTTTTTGGCGGTACGTGGGCCTCTCACTGTTGTGGCCTCTCCCGTTGCGGAGCACAGGCTCCGCGGCCATGGCTCACGGGCCTAGCTGCTCCGCGGCATGTGGGATCTTCCTGGACCGGGGCACGAACCCGTGTCCCCTGCATCGGCAGGCGGACTCTCAACCACTGCGCCACCAGTGGTACTTGGTCAATCTCTTTCTTACCACTAAATGTTAGCCTACAATTTTCTCAAAAATTTTCTCAAAAATTTCGATAAAAGAAATAGTTAACAGATTATCAGAAATTCAAAAACAATAGTTTCATAGCCCACGTAGATAAAACATTTTAAAACGATAGTGTTAACTAAGTAGTATATAAAACGTTTTATACAATAAAGTCACAACTATTTTACTAAAGGAATAAAAACTGAAAGAAACTATAAATGATGGTAAGGTAGAAGGAATGTAGGTAATCTTTCTTCTTTATTTTTCAGTTATTTCAAAATGTGTTTATATTATTTTTATAACAACTACAAAATTATACATGAATATGTATATAAATACATATTTTTTAAATAAGAGGTTATATAATTTCAGAAATATTCTTTTTATCCCTATTAATTAAATAAATTTTCAAATTAAAAACAAACCAAGTTTTTCCAAGCTGTCAAGCCTACCTAGAGTGAGGTCTACTGTGCTCTCTCTCCCCTTTCCCATCCTTGTAGGCAGAGACTTTTTCTCCCACCTGACAAAGGTGCCCCACCCCTCCAATCCACCTTGTCCCCTTCTTCTCAGATTCCTACAGTGTATACTCACTGCGCTATTCAGATTGATTTATAGACGTAAGATGTCTCAGATTGCTCCCAAATCATTTTGCTCAATTCAAGCTGTTAACACACTCCCCACCTTTCACAGTTGAACTTGACTTCCCTTGGAAATAAAAGCAAAGGCTCTAACATTTGAGAACAGCTCTTTCACTAGGTTATCCCCAACCAAAGCCCGTTTTGTTCTTGCCCAACTGTCACCTGCGTCTAAACACAGGCCTTTATGTTTATCCCGATTAAATTTCACTTGCTGATTCTGACCAGACTTGTCGAAATCATCTTGGAAAGTCAACTCTGTCAGACTTGGCCCTTGGCCATTCTCCATGGCATATTTTGGCATATTCCCATAGCATCATACCACTTCCAACCTCCCTGCTGACTGAATCTGGTTTAGCTGGTCCCACGGGGTTGGATGTTCATCCATGTACCAATTCACTAAACAATACCATCAGCCAGTCCATGTTACTCCTTGCGGCTATAAATTCAGTGCAATTCATCAAGTGTTTATTGCATGCTTTCTGCATGCCAGTCCTGTGCTAGGTGCAAGCAAGTTCCAAATATCAATAGGACAAGCCTCTTAGCCTCAAGGTACATGATCTATTTCACAGAACACAACCTATTCTATGAAACAAGACAGAATGCCAACATATTCTGTGAAAGAGGACCAAAACTAGTCCACTCTGTAATTATGCCTAAACAGATGAAAAACAAAGACACTGGGAAACCACAAATGTGACCACACTTTCCATCCTGGCTAACGTTGAGTGACCACTGCTCCTTCTCCACTGACAGCTCAAGCCCTGCCCCATTCCTCCTACCTCCTGAAAAAAAGTTCTGAACATACACAGACACCAAATTGCCTTTCTGACAGCACCGAAGTCAGAACAGACTGACCTCCACTTCTTCGAACCCTCCCAAAAACTCACCTAAAATGAGCCCAAATCCTATTAGCTCCTCCTAAGTCCTTATTACCCAATGGGGTAAGGAGTCTCTTGCTACAGCAGGCTTAATAAATGTAACTCTTGTTTTGTACAAGAGTACAAAACAAGAGTTGCATGCTCCTGGAGGTATCTGGCTGGTAGGCATGGACAATTCCTAACATCTAGTAGGTGTTCAATAAATATTTAATGAGGGAAGGAAGGGAGGGAGGGAAGGAATTGTTAATGATTTAAGAAAAAAGTTAACTTTATGTTTTGAAGGACCTTTGTCATGCTCCTGGTCAATCTTTCTGGTTACCACTGCTTTTTTTGATAAGACCTTTACCAGAAGATAGCATCAAATTCATCTTCAGGTGTTCCACAGAATTTAGGTTGTTCTAACCTAATGATTCTCAACCTGGGCGATTTTGCCCTCCCCCACCAAGGCATTTGGAAATGTCTAGAGACATTTTTGGTGGTCACAGCTGGGCAGAAGGAGATGCTATAGCATCTTTGGTGGGGGCACAGATGCTGCTAAGTGTTCTAATATACACAGAATAGGACCCCACAGCAAAGAATGATCGGGCCCCAAATGTCAAACTATTGAAATGGGAAACCCTATTAATCTCAAGTTCTCCATTCTGGCTTAATATTGGAATCACTTGGGAAACTTTGAAAACATCACCAAATTACCCCACTCACAGACATTCTGCTGTATTTAATCTGGGGTATAGCCTATGCAACAGAACTTTTAAAAGACTTCCCCAAACATTCAAGAACGTAGCCTAGGGTTGAGATGCTGTCTCTGGAACCTGGGTGAAAATCTGGCTGCACCTGCCCTCTGTGGTCTTCTGGGTCCTTCTGTCTCTGGCTTCTTTGGGGACCTCTGACAGTGGTCGCTGGAGCACGCCTGCCAGGTCTTCATCTCCCAGCTTCCTCTCCCTTATGCCCTAGGACCTCAGGTGTCTCTAAATGACAGTGATGAGACGCTTCCTCCAGCTATGTGTTCACATTCTATTACCTTCTCTAAGCAGGGGACCGTCCTTTCCTCATCATTCCTGCTCTAAATCTGGCAAGACATCTTGGTGTCTTTGCAACGCCTTGTGTCTTGCTGCTAAGTGCAGCATGTAGACTGGCTGCATTAGATTCACCAAAGAGCCTCTTAGAAAGGTAGAACCTTGGGTCCTGCTCAGACCTCCCTGGGGAATTCACACCTTAAAATGTGAGAAGCCTTGTTTTGTTCATTCTGGAGATTTATATTCTCTTATGATTATTCTTATAATCGTAACTGTCATGACTATTCTTACTTCCATGCTTTAGTTTCTGCCCTGGTTGTGTGACCATCATCTAAAGATGTTCTTTTTATGCCTGAGCTCAGCCAGGTGTTCTGAACAGCAAGGGGGTTTCATTAGATACCAACGCTGCTGCCAAAAAAAAGCAAAGAACTGAACTGAGGCCACTCTAGGGTGGTGTGGCGGGGAGGCATGGCCATGGGGCAAGTACAACTGAGGAAAACCATCTTACCTTGGCTGAGCCGATGACCTGTCCATCCAGATAGGTGGAAACAGTACAATTTCTTTTCATCTCCTTGGTGACAACCACAGCCAGGTGGTGCCACTGACCACAGGCCAGCATCTGGCCACACCTGACCCGAAGCTGGCGTCCCGCAGAAGGCTCAGGGTCATCCTCGGGTTCCATGACATCTGGAAGAGAACACAAACACCAGACCACGCCTGCAATGTCAGAGGGCAGCAACCCAGCAGAAGCGGGCCTTGTGCCCATGGAGCCAACGCCGAGTCCCCCCGCCACAGAATACTGACAACAGCAGCTGTCATTGCTGGAGCTCTTGCTCTGTGCCAGGCACTGAGGTAGGCACTATCGTGATTTCCATGTTACCATTCTGAGGCACAAAGAGGTTAGGTAACTTGCCTAAGGTTGCAGAGCCAGAGTTCAAGCCCAGGAGTCAGGCTGCAGGGTCTACCCCTCACTAGACTGCTGCCTCCACAGTGATGCACATAGGGTGGCAAATACCTGCGAGGGAAGGAGCCTAGGCGGCTGTGCTGTGTGTAAAGGATGCCAAGCCAAACCCTGGGCCTTCCAGTGTCAATGTCTCACTATGAAATGGGGCACACAAGAACAGGCGTAGCCATAATACCCTGGCCTTGGCCATCTCAGGCCAGTTCAGGCCATCGCTGGCAGGTGAGCTTGGAGAGCCGAGCTGAGCTCTTTGAGGCAGAGCCAGGACCAGCCACCTGTACAACTGAGGGAGGGCCGGTCCCCCTGGCTCTTGGGCCAAGAGCTGCTGACTCAGCCCCACTTCTCCCAAGGGTGGGTGAAACCTTACCCAGGGGCTGAAGCTCTTTCTCTTCTGTAGACACAACCAAGGAGAGGTCTTCCGGGCAGAGGCTGACGGAGAAGCAGACGAAGGGCTGCTCGGTCCTGGCCAGGTGGCGTACCACGGTCAGGAAGCGCAGTGGGTGGCCCTCCGTGACTGAGCTGTGCCTGCTGATCAGGAACCAGCAGGAAAAGGTCAGGCCCCCTGGCGGAGGGAAGGACCTGGCAGCGCCTGGGGTCAGAACACAAGCACGCCCTTAGGCTTTGTCCTGCTGCGGAAGCCTGTCTAGACTCACTGTGGCTCTGACTCAGCAAAGGGGTGGCCCTACTGTGTGCTAGCACTGCACCCCACCCAACTCACACCTATTTTACAATGACCCCACGCAGGAGGATGCTCTGGTCTCCTTATTCATACTTGCAGCAATAAGTCATATTCCCTCCAGGACTTGAACCTAGATCCTCGAAGCCTCTCTCCAATGCTGGCCCACCTATTATTCCATTCTGCCTTGCCAAGGGAGCGGAGACGTGGCACACCCCTGAGATCCGTCATCATGTGGCCCACAGGTCAGCTGGTCTAAAGCCAGGCCATGTGCTACGTGGGGCAGAGGACCCCGGCCTAGCTTGGCTAAGCCTTGCCTGGGGAATATTCCACTCTAGGGAAACCCATGCCCTCCCACCTTGTAACAGGGTTGGTGGAACAGGCAGGGCCCACTGCCCTCACTGAATGGGCAGAATCAGGCTTGGAACCCTGCGCCGATGGGCCGTAAATGTAATGGCTCCTGAGCACCTACCCTCCCATAGAAACCCAGACCCTGGCTCTCCTAACAAGGGGTGCCTGGTTTTCAGCCGAGTGCAGCGCTGTACAAAGCATGCCGAGGCCCAGTCGATCCCCACGTGAGCCAAAGACTGGACGGCCATCAACAAAGAACTCATGTTCTTCTCTAGAGAGCGCCGTAAGGTGGGGTGAGGTGTCCATTTCAGCCTCTGTCAATCACTGACAAAATGCATCAAAGCCAGGCTCAGCCACCAACTCACCCACCGAGCCCATCAGTGCTAAAAGAGCCCCCACTCTGTGCAGAGCCATGGGCTGGGCCCTTGGGATGCACAGTGAACAGGACATCCCTGCCCCAAGGCAGGCATGACCAACGGGACAAGTGGGACCAAGAGGAAGACTCACACTTTCTGGAAGTGCCAAGTGGAAATCTGAAATCAAGGCTCCCTGAGGACTTACTCCCAGGTCGGGGAGGGGACCTCAGCAAGCTAAACCCCCAGGGAAGCACCTACCTGTCCCAATCCCTCCAGAGACCGAGTATTCAGTGCTGGTTCCCATCACCGTAGACAGGGTTGGAATAAACAAACAGCTGGAACAGGAAAGTGTCTCAGATCATTGAACCGCAAGCCAACCTCTGGTGTGAGGTTTCCCCCTCTGTCCTTCTGCAGGGGCCTCACTCCCTCCTAGACCATGAGGCCCCAAGGACAGAAAGTACCTGATGCTGGCGCCATGACCCTAAGAAAGGAATCTGCTCTGGAGGCTAGAGGGGAGGGCAGTGCACACTGCACGTGAATGCAGACACACCAGGGGAATGAGAGGGTCCTGGCCCAAGACAGCTGGGGACACTGCCTCTAAGAAGCCACTGAGAAGACAGGGTGTCCATGACCCAGATATTTTCCACAGCTGAGTGTGAGAGACGATGGGAACTACACTTTTGTAATCAATATTACAATTCACCCAAGGCACTGGGAAATTAATAGTGTATTTCAAGTACATGAAAGCCTGTCATACCCATAACCTTCCACAGACATGTCAAATTCCACAAAGGATGGAGCCAGGGCTGCCCTCTGAGGCTGCAGGTTGCGTGGGGAGGTCATGGAGATGAGGCTCAGTGCTGTCTGAAGGGCGGTGGTTGAGCCCTGGGATGGCCCTGAGGGCCTGCGGGCCTGTGTGACTGCTGAGCGAGGGCTGGTGTCCAGGGGATCCTCAGCAGGCACTGGTGTCACTGGCTGTGACCCTAGGGCAGCAAGCAGGAGAAGAGCTGTGTCTTTGCTCAAACCATTCCTGCCCCTCTTCTGACAACAGCCCCCACATTTCTGCCACAGCCCTGAAGGAGGGCTCTGCAGAGTACCATGCCGTTCCTAACCCTGAGGGTGTCCTCCTGGGCCCTCCACTGGCCCTCCCACCTGGGCTCTCTGCTGATTGTCATAGCACAGAACTATTGTGACAACCTGCTCCTCCTAGAAACTTCTTCTCACTTTAATTCTATCGTGGCCCCCATCCCTTTCCAATACAGGTTTTCTGTTGCTGTCACTGGCTTGCCCCATTGGCCGTCGCTCACTGCGGCTTTGTCTTGGTTCTCTGGCCTCCACACTCTCTTTCACAATAGGCTGTCTCCTCGAAAGCTCTGGCTCCCACCTCTGGCTGCCGGCTCAAGCTTGACTCTCCATCCTGGCTTTTCAATTGGGGCTCCTTGCCTCAATGTCCTATGCAATCTTATATTCAGCATGTCCATGTCCTTCTTTTCTCCAAGAGGGTTCCCTGGACCAGCATCCTTCCAGGTACCAGGCCACTGCTTTGTCCTCCTGACCTCCTAACTCCCCCCTGAGCTGTGAGCTGTGCAGAAAGCTGACACTGTTCCTCTGCCCAGGGGCAGCGCTGGGTACTCCTGCACGCGCTGTGACATGAAGGTTTCCGTGCTCCAGGCCCAAAGGGGTCAAGTACACACTCATCATCACCTCTTGTATGGGGGTAGGGGTCTCCCTCCTTCCATATCTGGTCTTTGTCTGGGGACCATTGATCTGATCCTTCTGCTTTTTCCTCATTTGCTCCATTGAGCAGCAGGCAAAATCATTTTTAAATCTGTCTGCTTCCCATATGTTGTAAAGGATCCCTTACAACAAATGCATATTCTCTTTTAAATCCCATTATCCTGCCCCTACTCCTTCCTCTGTCCTCACCTGGGCATCCAGAGTCCCCTCCATGTATGTGAGATGAACTGAGGATTTTCGCTGCAGCCGATGGAGGTGGAGCAATTCCAAAACCTAGAAACTGTCTGAACATCATAACAAACAAGAGAACCAAATGAAGACATTTTGCAAGCAGAAATTTTCTCCAGCTTCATCTGAGCACTGTCTTAGGTCCCAGAGCTCGCTGGCTCCCCCTCCAGGCCTTCCTCTCTCTGCCTGGAAACCCTTTTCTCAGGCCATACAGAAACAGGGCATCCCTGACCTGGCACTCAGACCAGAGAGCTGGTGAATTTAAGTGCTTTTGACTTAACCAGTGAGGACCTTGAGAGGAAAAGGGTTTTGTTGGAAAATAACTTTGTCATACTTTGTTTTGAAGTTTCTAACGGAATTGAAACTTCCTCGTCTGACAGCCCCACAGCTAGAGGCGGAAAGAGGCTGGCCTGGCCCCTGGGTCCCATGCCTGCTGGCTGGAGGGGCTGCCTTCCGTCCCCCTGCACTTGGTCCTGTGTGTCAGCAGGGGTCCAGCTGGCCTGTGGCCCTGGGCACCACCCTCCCTACACCTACATTGTCTAGGGCAGGGTGGCCTGGCCACAAGTACTTAAGAGACCCCTGACCTCCCTCCTAGAGCGTTTCTTTCCTCTGCTCTTCTGTCTTCTGTGTCTGCTCCTCCTTGCGCATCTTCTCTCCCTGCTGTGGCTCTCCAGGAAACATGTGGCTTCATGGAGGGGCTGCAGTGCGAAGGCCCCACAGGACACAGTGGTGCTGCCTCTGTCCCCGTCCTTGTAGGGAGCCCAGTCGTGGCCCGTCACACCAGCTAAGTTCCCTGTGGTCTAGCCTCGTGGCAGTCAGGCCCCTACATCCTCCACCCTTCTCAGCAGGGCATCTTCACCTGGTCTGGTGAACTGCACAGGCCACAGGCCTCAGCCACTGCCACTCCCTTGAAGTCCCCCTCTTTATACCCAATCTCCCGACTTTGGTCCTCCCAGCTCCTCAGAGCTCCCACTCTGAACTGAGCATCCCATCCAGCGCTATTCTGTATTGTCTGCAGGACCCTTTGCTTATTATCCCTCTCCCCGAGAACATCAGCTCCATGGGAGGGGCTACGTCCGCTCTGCGGGCCTCACACTGTTGCAGACCCAAGGCTCCTCCCTGGACTTGCAGTGTCCATCGCTGGGGAGGGGGAGGGGGCACTCTTACTGCCCACTGTGCACTCGCATGGCTGCCAGGGGCTTGGCAGCATTTAACGTGCAGCACACGGTACCTTAACACGTCTGGTTCGATGGCTTGGGAAGCAAGCTTTTCAAAAATCCTGATGAGCCCCGAGTGCAAGGGGCTGCTGCTGGTGGTCAGAGCCTGGTGGCAGTAGGTCATAAGGGTCCTGAGCATCCCCGCCTCACACATGACCTGACGGTTCTTCTCCGACTTCACCAGGGACTGGATGTGACTGGTCACGGAGCACTGGATCTCCTTGGAAAGCTAAGAGTAACCAAAGCAAGCAGTGAGCCCTGGAGGTCGGCATGTTTCGTGGGCCACTTTGGTAAGCTCCCCACTAGGCCTTGAGTTGGTGGTGGGGCGAGGAGACTAGCCCTCACAGCCTGTTCTTACTGCACCCCATCTGTCCTGGGCCTCTCAGATGTGGCCTCCTCACAGGAGCTGCCAAACAGGTAGACAGCTTAAAAGAGACTGCAAACTGGCAAGCGAGAGGCTGCACCAGCCTGAGACATGTGCTTGACCCACACAATGTTTAAACCGTTTCTGAATTGCTAACATTTAAAAGCCTGGAGATTCCACGTAAAAGTCCAGACTTGTGGCCTCTCTCAAAAGGTGGAAAGATCTGGTCATGCTGCTTTGCCATCCTGTGTCTGTCAAGAAGCAGTGGGAGCTGGGCAGCGGCTATGCCCTCTAGCGGGTCCCACAACTCACCCCCTACCCACTGGCATCGCTCACTCAACAGTTCTGTGTTTGAGTTTGCGCCCCCAGTCTAGAAGGTGGAATCCTCCTGGGAGTGCCAGCCTGCAGCAGGTGCCCCACCCAGGCTGTTGGCTGTGGCAGCTGCAGCCCGCTCCGTCTTCACGTGCCAAACCACACCTGCTCATACAAGCCCCTGAAGTCACGGCTCCAGTGGGGAAGCCTTCCCTGCACCCCTCATCCTTTGTCCATCTCTCTGTGCTAAGCACTTTCAGACACACAGACAGCTGGCCTCTTATCTTCCTCCTACTAGATTTCAGCTCACTTCACTATCTTTATGTCCTTGAAGCCCACAGGACAGAGTGCACAGAGTCAGCTCAGTCAGTATTGAGCCAAATACAATACATTGTTTTCACAATCTTCCTTGCTTCATAAAAGGGTAAACCCCTGGAATTCCCAGCCTCCATGGATATATAAATTGGGGGGTGGAATTTTCTTCATAAAAACTCTTAAGACTGCCCACATTTTCTTTTACTTTGTATAAGACTCTCTGAAATGACCAGGATACCAGTTAGATCTTAATGGAGTTTTCCTGCAGTGGAGGCTATGTGGGCTCCACCCAGATGTCCTTCTCCAGGTTAGTGTACCCATCACAGCTGCCCCTCCTGCGGAGGTCAACCTCCCCTAAGTTGTAGCTGCCCTGCTATGTAACCCCCATATATATGTTCATGCATGCATACATGTGTGTACATGTACACATACATGCACGTACACACATACATAAAAGTGTGCACACATAAATACAAACATATATACATCGCCCCCAGGCTACAGCCAATGAAGCCATGCCCTTCAGCCTCTGTGGTGCAATTCATGCTGAGAGCCCCACCCTGTAGGCTCAGGCTGAAGCTAGACTTCAGCTGATAGCATGTCCTCACTCAGCTCCTTCCTCTGCACCACTCTGCTTCCCTCACCTCCCTTCTTCTGAGTCCCTCCCTCCACAAATCCCATGCACCTGTAGCCCTGTCTCGGTATCCACTTTGAGGAACCCAAGCGGAGACCCTAGCCTGCTTTTCATATTGCACACATTTGCCCTAGTCTCTGGTTTCAAGAAAAGGGATCTATGGTGATGTAGATTATGTCTGGCTTAGCCTACCAACGTAAAGCCAGGAGTCACCATAAAGGCACTTACTCTGGGACTCTGGACCCAACACTCAGAATCACCTCTCTCTACCATCACCTACCTCCCTGTGCATGTAGTTATTCAAGGCCACCCTGCCCAGAGATGGTCAAGAGTATGTCTGTATCACTAAGGGATAGAAATTTGTAAGATGGCGTTCTTCTTCAGGCTGTGAACACAGTTTTGTAGCACATGTGTTTCAAGGACTACAATGTGTGGTGAAACATATTTACAGTGTTTGTCATCAGTTTCTAGATTTTTTTAAAAAGGAAGGGGTGGGACTTCCCTGGTGGTGCAGTGGTTAAGAATCCGCCTGCCAATGCAGGGTACACGGGTTCGATCCCCGGTGTGGGAAGATCCCACATGCCGCGGAGCAATGAAGCCCGTGTGCCACAACTGCTGAGCCTGCGCTCTAGAGCCCATGAGCCACAACCACAACTCCTGAAGCCCACATGCCTAGAGCCTGTGCTCTGCAACAAGAGAAGCCACGGCAATGAGAAGCCCGTGCACAGCAACGAAGAGTAGCCCCCGCTCGCCACAACTAGAGAAAGCCCGCATGGAGCAACAAAGACCCAACGCAGCCAAAAATAAATAAATAATTTTTTTTAAAAAAAGGAAGGGGTCACACAGCTCACCCTCCCATCCTCCCACGCCTTCCAAAAGCATGACGCCTATAGCTCCTGCCTCAAACTGATGGTATTCAGTGAAATTCCCATCATTACAATATCTTCGGTAATATTTTCGACTTAAGATTTTAGACTATTCAATTTTAGTTTAAAATATAAACTACATTAGAATGGTTTTCAGGGGGACTGCTCCCAGGTAGGATTTTGTCACTCTGTCAACATCACTGATGTCAAGGAGAGATCTCATCACTCAAAGAACGCGGTCCCTGCAATGGACTGTTTGTGTCCCCCCCCCACCAAATTCATACGTTGAAACCTAACCCCCAGTGTGGTGGTATTTGGAGGAGGGGCCTTTGAGAGATGCTTAGGTCTTGAGGGCAGAGCCATCATGAATGGGATTAGTGGCCTTAGGAAAGAGACCCCAGACAGTTCCCTCCTCCCTTGCACCACGTGAGGACACAGCGAGAAGAGTGCCATGAGTGTGGAAGTGGGTCCTCACCAAACACCGAATCTGCCAGCACCATGATCTTGGACTTGCCAGCCTCCAGAACTGTGAGAAATAAATTTCTGTTATTTGTAAGCCACCTGGTCTATGGTATTTTGTTATAGTGGCCCGAATGGATGAAGACAATCCCCTTCCCTGTCACTGTGGTATCTGCACAGCCAGCCTGAGATGCTAGAGGGACATGTATAACCCAACAGGGACCAGAAACAGAAGAAAGAAATGTCAGATCTAATTTGCACTAAACAGTTCCATGTCTTTTACTTTAAGACGCTCTTCCATGTAGAAACCTCCCCAACCTCCTGACTCCCTTCCCCAAATCTTTCTTCCAATGCTCTAAGTGTCCCTTCCTACATCCAAAGAGACCGCACCTCTGCCTTCCTTCTTCACTCTTTTCAAAACAGAAAAGCTGCTTCTACCCTCTTGCCCAGAACTCTCCCTCTCCCAGAACTTGGAATATTTGGTAACTGCAGTCTTTTAATTTGGGGTGAGAGTTGGGGAGACAGTCTGCATGAAATAAGATGCAAAAATAACAACACAATGTATTATTAATAAGAATTAAAAACAAATGTCTACAACCTCCAATTTTTATTACCAGCACTTCACTTATTGCTTTGGGGACTTTTGGCTTTCCTTTTTGTTGTTGTTTTTGCTTTTTTTTTTTTCCTCACCAGAGCAGGAATACTTAAAATCTAAATATGCAAAAAAGAAAGAAAAAAAGAAAAAATTTTCAAAAGGGAGAAATAGAAATGCTGATCTTATCTAATGATGCCACAAGTTTACTCCAGAATTGCTCAATACCCCATAATGGAGGAGGGAAAATTGATCGCCCTCATTATCGCTGCAGCTCTGTCAATACCAATATTGCCTTGTTTTGAATAAAATGTGCTGTTTTTTTCAATGCTGGTTCCAGTAAAATGGGGTTTTAGTGAAAATATGAGCAGTAGCAGGAAACCAGTCTGGTTTCTCCCCCTACAAATGGATTGATTTTCCTAACGCACATTACTTCCAATGCAGGAAGGGGATAGTGGTTCAATTAGGACTCAGTGGTAAGCGCTCAGGGTCATCAGCAGGCTGGACCCACAAGGCAAATTATCACAGAGAGATGTGCGGGGCTGCCTGTAGGAGTTTTCTGCCTTCTCCACTTAGCAGCTGAGTCTTCAAGTCTGTCCTTGTCCAGCTGTGGATGTTTAATCTTCTTTATCTCTCTCCCACCCCCCACTTTCTCTCCTGGTCCAGGTTAATATGGTGGTCCCAGAGCCCAATGAGGGCTGGGTCCTGGTGGGGTGGGTCCCTCCAAGGAGGCGTGGGCTATGAGTACATCAGTCCAGAGTGTGTCTTCTAGACATTAATCATGTAGTCCTAACCAAAAACCATCAGATGGCCAGCATATGCTTCCCCCAGACACTTAGAAAGAACTAGGGACTTCCACTGAGCTACTCAAATTTGGACTAGTCACTTATTCCAATTTGGGTGAAATGTTCTTTATTTGATGATTTTGGAAGAGAGATGATACATTTTAAGTGACCTCTGCTCTTCTGGGATGTCACAGGTAAATATGTGTTTTATTTGTAAAGATGTGTTTTATTTGACAAGTCGTTGTGGTTTTTATCTTTGCTTACTTAGAATTAGCTCTCTCTTTATATGGGCATAAACTTTCCATTATGCACAGCCCCCACCAGCCTAATACACTCGTTTGCATTGCCCACATGGCCTTATAGGCGTGGGAGTCTGTGATCTTGGTTTAGGTGTAAGAGGGTCCAAATCCCATTGAATCAGTAGAATCCATGTCCAAAGGCATGGCTTCCTGGATGTACTTGTACAGATTTGCAATGAAGACCAAGATGCATGTGGGTGCCTGCTTTAAATCTTCTGCTTCTTTTACAAATTACATACATATTTTGGCCAATACTTCCTGGTTACAGAAGCCTAGGATCTTATATTAATAAAATAGTTGTCTCCTTCCAGCTTTACTTCCCAACCTCCCCTTTGGTCCACCGTGTACTCTACCCCAGTAACATCATCACCCTTTGCTGAATACGCCATAACCTTTTTGACTGATGCCCAAAGTTGAGAATGTCCTTTCTAAGCTCATCCCTTTGCTGAGGTCCTACTTATTAAAGAGACAATTCACACGTTCTCTCATCTAAGAAAACTTTTCTGATCTTCCTAACTAGCACTGTGTCCACACCTGAATCATTATAAACACCACACTATGACAAGCTATCTATCTGTTTACCAAGAACTGTGAACTGCTACC